GCCCATGCTTCCGGAGCCACTGGCCGTGTGGATGCTGTGAGGTGTAGGGCAGGGGCTCGGGGTGAGGGAGCAAGAGCTCAAACCCCAGACAAAACAAGATGGTGAGAGCCGGGTCCCTGGCCTTGAGACTCACGTATGCCCCGAAGACCACACGTGCTCTCCGGGCTGTAGAGGTGCGGGGGAGACATGCTTCCCGCGTGTGAGGGACTGGCTGGAGATGGAGCACCGGGCAGTGACACAGCCCTTAGGGAGGAGCATTGCAGAAGCACCCTCGATGAACAGAGACAACGTGACAGTTTGGTGTTAAACTTGCTCCAGGATGAGTATAATCACAGAGCCAGAGGGAAAGTGGGAAAGGGAGCCCCAGGGGGATGCCTGCGCCGCCTCCCTGCCTCATTCCCCCCTGGGGTTGGGGCACACAGGCACACGCTCCTGGCCTGACTGTCAAGTCGTTGAGTCCAGGACATGAAGCGTACGGGCACGTGGGATCCAGCCGCTCTACCCATCATGCCACCTGCTGGCCCCATACGTGGACTGATCCACACCCCAGGAGGGGCGTCTGGCTAGTTGTCTGTGGGTCCCTACCAAGTCTTTTTTTTATAATAATAATTTATTTATTTAATTCCATTTGTTATTATTTTTGAATTGGACCAGAGAGAAACAGAGAGAGAGAAAGGGAAGAAAGCAGGCACCAGCTCTGGGACTTGAACTGTGGTCGGCCATGAGGGCGTCCAACGCCTTTAACTGTACACCACCTGCCGGCCCCTCTCCCAAGTCTTTAACACAACTTCGATGCCCTAAATCCAAAATGCTCTCCTTCTAGAATGACCTGAAACCGTAATCTCTCCTGTTACTCTTTATCAGAGGCGGCCCATGACAACAGGAACCCTCAGGGTGTTTTACGAGAATTGGCCTGGGGGCCTGCAGGTGCCGTGGTGGCTAAGGCACTGCCCTTCCACGTGGCCAGGGGAGATTCCAGCCCCAGACTACCCGCCGGGAGCGGGTGGTGCGCCTGCATGCCCAAGTCCCAGAGGGGAAGGGACCGCAGCAGGCCCAGGCCTGTGGGGCTGCTTTCTCCCCAGCCCCTTCGACAGCTCAGATCTCGTTTTCCTGCCCGCCCTCTCTCCCAGCCCCCGGCCAAATCCGTCACCCACCCTAGTTCTAGCCCATGTTCTCACGTGACATTCTCCCTCACTGGGCCCTGCCCCTGTGCCCCCCAGGCTGGCGGGCTTCTTGGGGCGTGGATGCGCTCCTGTCACCAGCTGACGGGCGCCGTCCCTCTCGCAGCCCCTGTATGAAGGCTGGTTCCTGGCGCTCTTCAACCTCCTGTACAGCACCCTCCCTGTCCTGTACATCGGCCTCTTTGAGCAGGTGAGCCAGGGTGCTGTGCGGAGGCCCCCGCCCACGGCCAGCCCACTGCTCCCACCGGGGCCCGCTGCCCTGGGCTGCCAGGAGGGCGCGTGTGCGTGCGTGCCCAAGATCCTGAGAGGAGAGTGGAGGAGAAGGGATTGCGGCGTGGCCATCGCCCCGGGGGTGAGTTCTTGCTTTCTGTCTCTCTGTCTCTCTCTGTCTTTCTGCCGCACGCATGCGGCCTATAGCAAAAACCTCTCCCCCCACCAAAAAATTGCCCGAGGGCATGTGCACTCTACAGAGAGAGACACAGAGACAGAGAGGACAGAGAGATCACGCCCGGGGGATGGCCACACCGCAGTCCCTTCTCCTTCATTCTCCTCCTGGGGATTTGGACACACACGCGGCCCCCGGCCGGATCCAAGCCGCAGCGGGCTGTGTGGGAGGCCGTAAACCTCTCCCCCCACCAAAAAATTGCCCGAGGGCATGTGCACTCTACAGAGAGAGACACAGAGACAGAGAGGACAGAGAGATCACGCCCGGGGGATGGCCACACCGCAGTCCCTTCTCCTTCATTCTCCTCCTGGGGATTTGGACACACACGCGGCCCCCGGCCGGATCCAAGCCGCAGCGGGCTGTGTGGGAGGCCGTGGCTCTGCCCGCCGGGCCACAGGGCCGGCTGCGGGGCTGACGCGCCACTGCCATGGCCGCCCCAGGACCTGAGTGCGGAGCAGAGCCTGGAGCGGCCCGAGCTCTACCAGGTGGGGCAGAAAGACAAGCTCTTCAACTACGGGGTCTTCCTGCAATCTGTGGCCCACGGCACGGCCACCTCCCTGGTCAACTTCTTCGTGACGCTGTGGGGCAGCCGCGCCACGGCGGGGCCCGCGGGCTTGGGCGACTACCAGTCCTTCGCCGTGGTCATGGCCCTGTCCAGCCTGCTGTCCATCACCATGGAGGTAGGCGGGGCCGGCGGGCTGGGCGGGCTGCGGGGGCGCCCGGTGACCCTGCCTTCCCCAGGTGGTGCTGAACATCCGCTACTGGACCGTGGTGTGCCTGGTGGCTGTCCTGCTGAGCCTGGGCTTCTACGTGGCCATGACGTCGGTCACCCAGAGCCTCTGGCTCTACCGGCTGTCCCCCACCACCTTCCCGTTTCTGTGTGAGCCCGCACGGCGCCGTGGCGGTGCCCGGGGGCGGGCGGCCTGGGCGCGCACCCAGGGTGGGGCAGGCCCTGAGCAGGCCCTGCTGTGACCCCGCCCTGTCCCCGCCCTGCCCCCAGCCGCAGACCACAACGCGCTCTCCCAGCCCCCCACCCTGCTGGTGGTCCTCCTGAACGTGACCCTCAACACCCTGCCCGTCTTGGCCTTCCGCGTCATCTCCCAGGCCCTGAAGAAGCCCCCCAAGGTGAGGGGAGGTGGACTGTGCAGGGGCTCAGGTGTCTCCTGGCGCCCTCCCGGCCCCCTTCCGGCCCCCTCCTGGCCCCGAGGTGCCGGCTCGGCTGAAGGCTGCTGGGAGCAGTGGGTCGGCTGTCAGGCCGAGGACAAGAGCCCGCCAGTGCCTAGGGGCGGTCAGCCGGGCCCAGCAGCGGGCGTGCTGTTAAGGAGCCAGGTCCCACATGGTTCTAGTCTCGGGCCTGGCGGCTCGAACGTTATGCCAGGTGGGGACCAGCAGAGCGGGTCATGGCCACGTGGCTGGATGCCCACGTGGCTGGACGCCCACGTGGCCAACTGGCCAGACCCGGGAGGCTTGAAACTCATGCTGGATGTGCGTGTGCATGCCCCAAATCCCGAGAGGAGCGTGAAGGGGTGTGACCACCCCTCCCCGGGGCTGTGAGTTCTCCCGTTCTGCCTCTCCATGAGTGAACGCACCCTACAGCAAAACTCTCTCTCTCTCTCTTTCTCAAAAGGAATGATTTATTTTAAAATTTATTATTTAAAAATATTTTTATTTATTTATTTTTTTAGAAAGATTTATGCTATAGGGCACGTGTGCTCACGGGACAGAGACAGACAGACGGAAAGCGAGAAATTACCACCTGGGGGGGCACACCGCAATCCCTTCTCCATTGTCCTCTGGGATTTGGGGCACGCACGCATGTGCACCCAGAGTGAGCTTTAAGCTGCCGGGTCTGGAACTCGAACCATGGCCAGCTACGTGGGAGTCCCGTGACGTACCCGCCAGGCCATCTGCTGGTCCTTGTTACCGTTTAATTTGACCAGAGGGAGCGAGAGGGGGAAAGTGAGAACGCAAGCCGCCAGGTCCGGGACTGATCTCACGTGGCGAACTAGAGTTCAAATCCCGGCCCCGGAGGCTTGCGAAGCGCACCAGGCCTGTGCGTGTGGTGCCCCAGGCCCTGCCGGGTGGAGACAGGATCGCTGCCGCGGCCCCTGGGGGGTTGTCCTCTGTCGGTGCTTGGGCCCACTGGGAGCTTTAAAGGCCCAGGGAGAACCGTGGTTGGTGGGACGGGGAGCCGGGAGGGCAGGCGCCGGTGGGGCGGGCGTGGAGCCTGACGACCCCCCGCCCTGCAGGACCAGGAGGAGGAGGAGGAGGGCCCGAGCGAGGAGGCCATGGCGGCCGAGCAGGTGTCCCACTTCCACCGCGAGTCCCGCGCCCGACGCTCCAGCTACGCCTTCTCGCACCGCGAGGGCTACGCCGACCTCATCACGCCGGGCACCAT